ATTGTTTCAGTACAAATATAAACCACAGCAGCTATTTAACTTTTATATTTAGAAATAAAAGTGACTATTATATACTCAATTTATTTTCAATAAAAGAAACAGAAATAAAACTAGCTCTGTCAGAACATATCCTCCAGGAAAAAGTCAGTGTCTCATAATTCCACCAAGTACAAAGACTAAATATGAAAAAAAAACAACAATCCACATGTTTTTAACATAAATATTTAATGTACTTATTGCACCTTTCAAGTTGAAGCTGGTTTTATCTAACATATACACATGTTTAATCCTTTCCTGATCACAAAAGTTTTTGGTTTCAGTTAGATTGGATTAAACAGCTTATTTTTTGTTTAAGATCATTTTTTTATTATTTTCTCCACATAAGCACTACAAGGACTCTTTAATTCCACATTAAACCTCAGTGTTGAAGACAGGTTTTAGCAAAGACAACTAAACTGGATAAGACTCATGAAAGCATACCAAACTAAAGCATCAACAAAAGTTAAATATATATAAACAGTATGACCAATGGTTCTATACTCTGAATATAAGAAAATACTTATGTAACTTTTAACAAAGCATTCACCACAAATGAATTATTATTCTTTAAGAGTTAACAAAACAAAAAAGAAAGTTGAAAGCATAGCACATTTTAAAAAATACTACACCAAACAGACCATAAGGTTTATGGTTTGAAACAAACCAAATTGATATTGTTTACCAACATAGTAATGATACAGACAAATACCAAATGTCAGGTATTACTGAAAAAAACTAACAGTTATTATTAAAGTATATCAGAAATAGTTAAATATAATGTTAACAAATAAACTATTACTATAACTTCTAAATTTTAATCTATCCTATAGAGCATTCTAACAAATAAAAGTTACACTTAAAATTTCACTTTTGAAAATAAAAAAAAGAGACGTCAACAAGCATACATTCTAAAATTTCAAATTCTGACTTTTTTTTCTCATACCTTGATAGCTGCTGAGCTAGAAGCTGTTGTATAAGTATCTGTTGTTGCTGAGGGTTAAGGTTGTTGAAGTCTTCACGCTGTTTTAACTGAGTGATTACGTGGCTACACAAGAATAATAAACAACAAAGTTATTCCTTTGAGTATACTTCAGAGAAAATGCTTTGTTTAGTAACTCTCTTAAAATTGTTCAATGAAATTGGAATGCACATTAAGGCAACATCTCGTAACATGCTTTCTGCTCATACTCATAATGAATGGCAGTAACTATCTTCCTTATATTATTCTAAATAGTTACAAAATTCTTTATTTTGCAGCAAGTAAATATATAACGTAATGAAAATTACTTAATGTGTTTAAAGAAAATGTTGTGTATTCTTCCTTATATTTTTGAAACTTGTAATTAATTAATAGTCATTTATCTGTTTTTAAAATTTGAAAAATTTCAATTATAAACACAATTTCTATTTTGCAAGCAGCAGAATTGGAAATGGTTAAGAAGAGTTCAACTTATACTAGTTAAATACTCAGATATTGAATTTCTACTATACTATTTTTGAATTTGGAAAAATCTTGAAAGAATTTGAATGTCAAATTTGCTATCAAGTTTAATGAGAAATAAAATATAAAAATAGCATTCTAAATGAAAAAATATATATGAAAATCCAACAAATGGCTCACTTTAACAATTTCATAATCTGTATTTACAATTTCTGATCAAGTACTTAAACAGAACAATGATTTTTACAAAAATATGCTACTTTTTATGTAATTAAATACATAATATATTTTAAAAAAATGCTTCCATAACATTTGCTATTCCAATACTGTTTAACAAAAAACAAACAGTATAAGATATGTTCTGCATCCAATATACTACTACAGGCATCCATTGATTTATGAAAGGGATACATTCTTGGAGAACGTAACATGTAACGAAAAAAAATAAATCCAAATCACTTCTCTCATTAAAGGTAAAAAAAATAGGGAATGCATTCATGACCCAAAATTTCACTACATTTTATTATATCCATTTTTGTATTCAGCATCGTTGCCTGGTGGGAACATTTCGCTGGGGCAGCAATTAAGCCTGAGGAGAGTCTCTTATAAGACATCTTGAGGGTTGAGGTAGATCACTTCACATTGTTAGACACAAAATGGGAACAACACCTGACTGACACTCAGATGCTGCACAAGATGCTTGTGTAGAGAGATCTTACAATGGAAGGTTCTATAATGTGGCCCAATGAAGGAGTGGCATGATGTTTGAAATTTCTTCCACAGTACTCTACTGAATTTGAATTACATAGTTGTGAAAAGCAGCTAAAGGTATTTCAATATAATAACAGAGAAAAATAGCATCTTAACTATTTGAATTTCTTAACTCTTTCGGCACGGGCTCGGTCCCAGCAACCGACCTCGTAAACATTTTGTGCTTGTTATAGTTTTCATGCTGTAACTTTTAAATTAGTAAGTGTCTCTTCACAAAATTTTGCAGATTATCAGTAAACATTACAAGGCTTTCATACGCAACTTATCAGATTTTTTAAATAATGTTTTTCTTATACCTTTTTTTTTGGAATGTTGACTATCCAACATGCAAAACAATTTTGATTTTAAAATTAAAAATACTTTTATACATCAGAAAATTTTCCAATTTCACATGAAAAATCTTTATAAACTCCAGATAATTATAAAAAAATTTTTTAGGGAAAAAACTATATTTTATCTGTTATTTTCATTATCGTATCTCTGTACGGGTTTTGTTGATTTGACTAACCTTGTAACCACCATAAAAAATTAGGATATGAATATAAATTATGTTTTTTTTGTTCTAGAATGACTACAAATTATAACAAGAAAACACACATGTTTAGTCTAAATAGCTTAAATCTCATAACATTATACATCTACAGGGTGTCCCAAAAAATGTATACACACTTTGAATGATTATGAATACAATGTTTATTAAGATATATCTAAGTTTTATAATTCAAATTAAAGAAGACAAGTGTAGAATCTTTTAGAGCCCACAACTCACTTAAACTCTCTTTCTTTACAGGTGCAACTGATCTGAAGTAATGGCAGAAGCAAGACTAAGCTTTGAGAAAAGGAAATTTATCCTAAAGTGCTACTGGAAGTGCGAGAAAGTAGCTAAAGTGCAAAGAAGGTAGTTAGAAGGTAGTTTTAAACAGATCCACCTACGCGACTCACCATTACTCACATCAGAGATAAGTTTGAAGCAGATGGAACTGTTCAAGATGTCCATACAGAGCATTCCGGAAGACTGCGGTCGTCCACCAGTCCTACAAAAGAAGCAGGGCTGCTGGAAAGTCTCCACCGATCTCCAAGAAAATCTGTAATTTTTTTAAAATTCTAAAATATGTAGAATGCCTGCCTTATTTCAGTCTTCGTTGATGCCATGTGGTTTGATACACTTCATCTTGTGGCACAGAATGGAATTGCAGTTACCAGTGGTTGAAGTTGGAGATTTGGTTTGTATTAGCAGTGCTTAAAGATGGAGATATAGTTTATGTCTAGCAGTGCTTGAAGTTTGAAATTTGGTTTACGTGTATTACTGGTCATCTGAGAATGCTTCTTCACTTTAAATAACAGTATTTATACCTAACTCTATATGGACTTGGTTGACTTAGTAATGACCATAAAAAATACCAAACAAGTCTTAAATTACCCTTTTCTTTCCTTCCAGAATGACTACAAATTGCAACAGAAAACAACAATTGTTTATTCTATATATATTAAGGCTCATAACAGGCTACATATGTTTATAGTTAATTTTATTATTTTAGGGCCCTTTGAACTGTATCTAACTAATAATCCTGCCATACAAGTTGAAAATCACTCAGCAAAGGTGTAACTCAGGTTACCATACTGAATGATGTAATGCAAAAACTTCTTGTGTGCATACCTTATGAATAATTTTTTTCCATTATCCTAACTAATCTAACCTAACAAGTTTATAATTTTTACGTTTTTGTTACTTTTGTAACAATAAATGGAATAAATATACATAAAAACAAGAAATATAGTACCTAAGTTTGAGCGCATATTTTGCTTTAGGTTGCCAATGAAATTTAAGCCTACTTTTTTTTTATAATAATAGTATTAATACACTAAATAACTTTTATTTACTTAAATAATGCACTTAGAAACATAGAATAATAACGTGTACAATGCAAATGTTCTATAATTATTATAATTTTACAGGCTTTCTAACTAAGACAAAGAAGGGCTTAAGTTGATTCCTTTAGCTGCTCAATCTAAACACCAAAAGATAAACTTTCAAACTGAAGATGAAATTAATGATACTCTCTGTACTTAAAACAATATAGAATTATGTGTCATTTGATAGATTAAAACTTGGCCACTTTATTGGTTATAAATAATAAACATCAGAGAGAATTATTGGGAATTTGTGAAAGAGAGGATTTGACAGGTGGTCATGGAAAGTGAGTCCGATTTTCTAGTTTATAACTCTGTAAATAAATAAGATTGAAGGGCATAAAATTAAACTTTGCCTTATCAATATCTATATTATAATGTGTAATTTACATTAAATTCTGTACCTCAGAAAGGGGGTGGTAAAAAAATTAGAGAAGGGGAAGAACTAGATAGAAAACAAATGTAACAATTCTCATACTAGGGGAGATTGAGGATTTTTAAAATATTTCCTCATAAAATTAAGAACTTAAAACTTGTATATTAAGATTTGATTTAATGAATACATTTTGATATGAAGTTTATTCTTATACATTGATAATAAGGTAGTGTAATTGCATTTTGAACGTAACTCTGTAAAAGGTCGTGATGTGCACTTTGACCTACCCTTTGCAAGAGTGTTAAATATAGCAATAGGGCAAAATGTCTCATCAATTTATATTATAATTAGATTCATTATTATTGATTTTCTAAGTGTCTAAAACCATAATACTATTTTTTTGTAATAAAGTTAAAAAAATTAATATATTTGAAATATGTATACACAAATTATTATACTTACTTCATAAGGAGATTCAACTTCTTTTAAAAATGCAATGAAAGTAGGAACTACAGACAGAAAAAACAAACAGTAATATTATCATTTTCATTCCAATAGAGAAATTTCTGGCATGTTAACTATGAATAAATCAATCTATAAGCCTATATTGCCAATATTGTATTAGATGGCTGCACAATATATTATTCATTTATCACTGATTTTTTCAGGTAATTTTTAACTTACATTTTGCCTTTTGAATGCAAATATTAGTTACGGTTTAGTCATATTTTCGATCAAAATCTCATTTTTCTCACAAACCATTTAATGTTTTTCAAACATATTTAGAAATTATAGTAGAAAATTTGACCAAAATTAGAAATTTTCACTACATTTTGGTACTTTTTGTATTAGGTTTATACACATGTTCATATTCAAATATGGCACTTCTAAAGAAAAAGTAAACACGGCAAACAGTGTACATGTTAATAATTCATCAGGCACTCTTCAAGAAAATGTAAACACAGCAAACAGTGTTCATGTTAATAATTCATCAGACACTTTCAAGTAAACAGCAAACAGTGTGCATGTTAATAATTCATCAGACACTACAGACCCTTTTCAAGAAAAAAGTATAGTTTGTTAAAAGAATGTTGGCAATAATGTACTTTAAGATATTATCAAAACTTCAATGATCCTAGTCATCAAGAAAAATCAAAAAGATTTCTCATAATTTATAACTACAATACATATTTAGTTATAATACTAGCCAAAGTGTCTTATTGGGTTTTTTAGTTGTGCATAATCCAATTTTCAACAATATTTTAATGTTTTACTTTGTAGCTTACTACATCCTTTGGTACTATTAATAGTTTTTAAAAATCTTGCTGCTAACCACCCAAGAGTCTTCCGACTGGGGAAAGTGTTAATACATAACATCTTTATATATATACTATTTTTATATATCAGGCAGGCGGTAGCACTGCCTATGCAGGGATGGCTCGGATTGTTCATCAAAATAATATTTTAAATATCTCCTCAACAGGTTATCAGAACTTTACAATACTGTACAGTGTTTCCTTTTATTACAATATCCTTGTAATGACCGAGTCACAAGTTCTGGGAATGTCCATAAATATCATAGCAAAAAGTTTGAATTTCTTGTTCTTTTTTTACTACATAACTCAAAAACCTAAATAATGGTGTCAACCAATTTCACTGAGGTGATAGTTTCAAATGGAATATCTGCTTTTATAAATATTATTAATAACTAGTAGTAATTAAAAATATCATAATTCTAATGTAAACGATGTTAACATTACTCCTTGAAGTTAGCTTTTCTACAGAAAGTTTGGTGTCCTTTAAAAAAACTTAAGTACAGAGTGAAACAGGAATTACCAGCCAATATTACATATAAACAATAAATATTACAGTTGGAACCTCATTGTATTTAGAAGGTTATAAATAGAACCTTCCTATGTCTTTTGAAACACTTTATTAAAAAAACAAGTAAAGATAAAAACTGTTCAAAAAAGGAAGTAAATGTAGGAATAGTTAATATCAATCCATCAAAAACAATGCAAACAGGATAGTAGGGATGGCATTTGCATCATTTCCACACTGTAAAACAGGCAAGAATTAACATATAGCAATATATATATATATATAACTATTCAATCACAATTGAGGTTAATTTATCCTATTTTTGTCTGTTAATATTCTCCTGCACTATGTGCCTCTACTATTATGTAGGGATGATGCAAATATCACCCCTAATATCTTGTTTGCATTATTTTTGAAGGATTGATATCAGCCATCCCCACATTTACTTCCTTTTTTAAAAGTTTTTTCTTTACTTGTATACTTTATAACTAATTATTGAAGAGTTATGTGTCAGAATTTCGTGCAAAAACTACACAAGGGCTATCTGTGCATAACCATCCTTAATTTTGAACTGACAGTTTAGACCACATTAGGTCCTTGAAAATCTGATATGTGGTCTACACTAATGATCAGATTGTGCAAAACTGTATTTCAGGAATGATATATTCCCCAAAAAGCTTAGGCCTGGCCTTTGGCTTTATGGTGCCCAATGTGGAAAATAATTGAGAAACATGTGACTATTCTACAGCACCTGCTGTCAATCACGTCTGATCAAATAGTGGGATTTAACCATTACTTTAATTGAATACCAACAGCCCCAAAGTACCAAACTTATTGATGAGTTAAAAAGTAAAATCCAACAAAACATGATAAAAAGCTTCAATTTATATTATTTATAAAATTCAATAAATATATTAGTGAACAACAAATTTCAGTAGGATTAGCTTCTGAAACTTAAGTATTGTTACTGTAGAACTATCACACAATATGTACCAATTCTTCATTATGTAGAGGAGCACAAAAAATTAAAAATAGAATTGTAAACATAATATTATATTTACAGTTGGTTTGTTTTTGAATTTCGTGCAAAGCCAGATAAGGGCTATCTGTGCTAACGGTCCCTAATTTAGCAATGAAAGACTAGAAGGAATGCGGCTAGTCATCACCACCCACTGTCAACTCTTAAGCTACTCTTTTACCAACGAATAGTGGGATTAATTGTCACATTATAATGCCCCCATGGCTGAAAGGGTGAGCATATTTGGTGAGACTGGGATTCGATCCTGGGACTGTCAGAATGCAAGTCAAGCGCCCTAAACACCTGGACATGCCGGGCCTTTACAGTTAGTATATAAAAACATAAATGAAGTTGTCATGTTACAATCATGTCTTAAAAAACTAAAAATATCTGAAATTCATCAGGAACAAAAGTAGCTAAAAAAAACCCAACAAATTCTTACTATCAACAGAGGAGGGAAGGCTGGTCAAGGCATCATTACACCATCTAGTAAATTCATCAGTCTGCTTTTTAGTGTGCGTTTCAAATAATTTCTTCAAGTTGTCCTATTAAATAATCAAATAATAAAAAATAAACAAGTGAAGGGTTAAAGAAATAACACAAGTTTTTTTTCCATTTTGGTTTACAATGTCAAGTAATTAATATGATCAAAATTGTAACAAATAGATATGAAAATACTGTGTTCTATACAAATCTTTAACAAAATTAAAATCCAACTTCCTTTTTTTTGCATAATAAAACATTAAAAATGAATTACCTAAGAAACATTATTCACTTAAAACTCATTATACCAGAAATACATTGTCACACATAAAAAATTAATTATTAATTAATTTTTAATGTACCACACATACTAAATTTTTCATACATTATTATATTGAAAATTCTCATTACGACTACTATAAAACACACTCGATAGAATGTATGACATAAAAGAATACAAGTGTGAAATAAAAACACGGTCTGGTATTAATATTTACTTAATCCTTTTCAGTACTGCATCTCATTTTTTATGAAGGCAAGTTACATTAGTAAAAAAATTATCTGATCTTTCCCTTTAAATAATCTACAAAATAAAACTACAAATGAAATGTTCAGATTTAACTCTTAAACCTGAGTTGACACTGCCAGCATTTGTCAGAAATCCCGAACTACCTATCAGATGGTGACAGTGTCCAATAACCTTTGTCTTTTTGGCTGAAAACCAATCTAAACAACGTTATTATCCACCTTTTATAAATACACCAGAAGTTCCATGAAGCATTGTCATTTGATTTGAAACAAATATCAGATCAACAAGTTGTGTTTGAGACCAATTTTTTCAGTGTTTTCTTGTGAAGTCTAACAATTTGTTTACATCAATTGTAAAACAAAGATGGCAAGTGGAAAGAAGCCACCAAAACGATTTACTGCTGAGCAAGCAATGAGTCTGTTCAATCGGTTAGATGAAGGAAGAAGTGATGACGATGGTGATTTTGATTTGAATTTGACTTTGTGGAAGAGAGACAAGTGATGAAAGTGATTCAGAACAGTCATCGAGACCCAGTTCCAGTGCTTCTTAATAAACTGATCAGAGGGGGGCATTACTACAATCAGGCCACAAAAGGGAGCCCCAGATAGACCTGATCCACCTCCTAGATCTACATCCACTACCAGAGTCAGCGGTAATGATTGGGCTGAGATAGATCTGCAAGATAGGTCAGCCACAAGTAATGACTTTGAGTTTTTCCAAAGAACAGGCATTATCCTGGTGTACACATTGACATCAATGATAACACACCTTGACTGTTTCAGAGCTCTGTTTAGAGAAGATTTAAGTAACGCTATCCTCGAGTACGCCAAAGCACAAGTTGCAAAAAAAATGTCTACTCAGAGACAGTTGAAGTATTTGAACTGGACTCCCTTTACTCACTCAGAGCTGCTGAAATTTCTTGCAAAGACAACATCAATGGACAGTGACAAACAACTTAGCATTCGAGACTACTTTGCCACCCACCAGTCTACTCAGAGACAGTTGAGGTATTTGAACTGGACTCCCTTTACTCACTCAGAGCTGCTGAAATTTCTTGCAAAGACAACATCAATGGACAGTGACAAACAACTTAGCATTCGAGACTACTTTGCCACCCACCAGTCTCTCTGCACACCCTTCTATCCCCAAATGTTCAACAGGGAGAGGTTTCAGGCTATTTACTCAACACAATGCTTCATATGGTTTCCCTGATGCTGTTGGAAAAAACAAAATTAAGAAAATTGAAATTTTATAAGGTGTGGTGATAATTATTAGGGAATCATGAAAATAATTCCGGCAGAATGTGCAAAAAATTATGGATTTAAAAGAGTTAAAGTTTGTTGTTGTATATTTTCTTAATATTTGTTTTTGATACATGAAAATCCAAACAACTAACCCTGATTTAGATTTCTTCTCACTCCCAATTGTAATTTATATTTGGGGAGTAGAAATGTTCCCCTGTGTAGATAAAACTTGTTAACAGTATGAAACAAAACTGCAAATCTGTGGTCCTTGTATATGCTTCTTATTTATTTGTACCACAGCTGGAATTATTTTCTTCCTTGCAATCTGTTTGCCATAGAGCTCCGTTTTGTTCTTATATGGATTGTATATTTCTAATCAAAGTATATTTCTTTGCCTGGTTATTACATCAGGCTTCAACTGATCATATGCCTACAAATAATCTTTAACATGGTTTTGTATTTTGTTTATGTTATGTGAAGGTGATAAATTAATTCTATTGGTTCCTTTTGAAATAATTGTACATAATTTTCAGAGGTTAAGAGAGATAACTTTTATAAGCAAGATTTAGTGAGTTAAATACTATTCACATTAATTTTAACAATACAACCCATTTTACTGCAAAATATTTTTTACTCAAGTGGGCTAGAACATCACACTATTAGGCTTACGACTGATTTTGTTGATAAGCATACACAAAGCCTGGCTTTCATGACAAGCTTATAAGCATGACATGTATCAGCACAGAATACAGTTATGTCATATCTTTATTTCTAATATAGTTTAAAATTCTCATTTATTGATTTTCATGATTCCAAATGCAGAAGTGGTTGAAATTATGTCACTGGACTGAAAAGGGTTAAATCTTCTTACACTAAGAATTATTCTATACAGTAGTTTACCTAATCTCTTACGTAAAAAAAAAGTGATCAAAGTACCTTGGTCAAAGAAAAAAGAATGAATGTTGTAAAATATATTTTGTAGAAGTGAAATTTAAACATTTAGCAAGTGCTGAAACTTCTTGTATTTAAAATCAAAATGGAAGTTTTAAGATTTCAATTTATACAGTATCCTAAGCCTCTGACATTTGTCACAATTTACCACAGGAAGCATATTTTTGGTTAACATATTTACAGAATTTGGGTCTTTTGTAAAGGGATTTGAATGCTAAAACAAAACTGATTTTAATCATTATTTATCTGTGCAAATACAGTAACGTAACAACTATAAAGGTTACATGTTACCTCTTCTTTCTTGGCACGCATGGCTTTCATCTTATTGGACATACTAGTAGCAGCTGGTGTAGAATTCTTATTTCCAAGGACTGGAAAGGCACTCTCACTGCAACAGAGGAAAAACGTGTGCAATACTTAAATTCTTCTCGATTATGCTACTTACTGTCTCACTCAGCAATATGAAAAATGAAAAAATAAGACATAATTGAATTAATATAACAGCTTTACAGAAATGTAATAAACAAGAACAAGCATATGGTGATTTTGATTTACATAGTAGAGAAAAATAACTAATAATTGTGAAACCCCCAAATCACTGTTAAAATATCAAATATGATTGTTTAAAAGTTTTTACAAATATGAAATCATGCTTAGACATAACAATTTACTAAAATGTTAACACTTTCAGGAATAAATGGAGCTATGATTAAAGCAAATAGTATAAAAATGGGAATTTCTTTGTCAACTATTATTAACATTAAGGAGAAAATGTTAAATAACCACTTAAGCCCAATGATTCCTTTTATTTTTTTATGAAAAACAATATCAATGTCATCATTATGAACATGCACAAAATATTAAATATTCTCTCCAATACAGTGTGATGCAAAATTGATAATTGTAAGTACTTGCCCTTATTATGATTTTTTTAAACTATTTCTGTATTTCACTAACTGTTTTTTTGTTGTTGTTTTTTTTGTTTACAGTCATTGGTTGGGAGAGTGCACAAAAATGATCCTATTGTGACTAATGAGAAAACTGTGCATTTCAAACAGCTGTAAAGGTACCACTTAGAAAACCACGTGTTGTGTGATTTTTATATTACTCCCTATGTGAATATTTAGCATCTTTATTACTTCAACTGGAAACTAAGTAGCTGTAAAAAAATGCAACTATGAATAAAAAAATATTTTTTTGTCTTTGGAACAGAGGGTTAATTTACTGCTATGACTCATTGGAATTAACCTAAAATTTGGTAAATATTGATATCATTTACCTGGATTTTGTAGACTTCTTGGAGTTACTGATACTGACTGCATCATCCCAGAAACCTCCCGTAGCACTAACAACTAAAGAGTTCTCCCTCCCACCCCAAGGATTACTGTTGGAAGGGGGTGAAATGGAACCCCAACTAAGACTTGTAGCAGCATTACTCCAAACCCCTGAGGTCAGATTCTGGACACTTGTTGGTTGGTGCTATAACAAAATAAGAAGGTATGCATTTTATTTTTCATTCTCTAGACAACAAGATAAAATCTGAGAAACACACTAAGTACGCAGTTTAACACTAGTTCAATTCTGTTTGAGATTCTAATCTCAAACAAAACTACTAAACAAAACAAAAGGTTCACATTTTTATGATTTCATATTTTGGAAAGCAATATCGAAAATTAATGTTACATAAGGAAAACATTTTTTTTCTGGTAACTTCAAAGCATTATATGATGGAATACGACATCCTCCTTCTATACTAACAGTTAATCTCCATATACAATGAAAGAAGTCTCTCTACATATGGAATTGTGACAGTTTCAAACAGACCTCTTATAACTGAATGGTTTCATCATTTTATTCAAGAAACCTTTTAATTATTTATCATGGACACTCATGTCATATGCAAAGGAGAAACAGAATCCAGTGAAAATGTATGCAGTATTTAGCTAGATATCAGATATTTTAACTATTGAAGTTGAAGATTTAAATTGCTTTAATGATAGTTGTACAGTCCACTTCCAGATAGCTGCTGCACCACATTTAAAGTTTATTTTAAACTAATTCCAATATAATCTGTACAAAAACATTTTCAGCTAATGAACATGCTAAAACAGATGCATTTTTGTGAATTTGTACTACCTTAATCAATGAAAAATATGTGATCTCTACATCGAAATATGTAACCATCTACTGAAATTAATTTTATACATTGCTCAAAACATGTAATAAATATTGGTAACACCAAAACTACTGGTACAGGAATATTAAAAAATCCATTAAAACTAATATTTCAATGACAAGCCTTATTTTAAATAATTTTTTGTTATACCTATAACTGTAGGCACTTTTTTGTCCACATTGCACACAAATATTAATGTATTCTAATGAAAATATTACAGAGGTTTCTATACCTTTTAGATTCTTATCATTTTATTGGTTTTACAATATTAATTAATATTACAAAACTTACATTCTGTTGTTTTTGTTCCTGCTTTCTGGCAAGCTCTGCTTCTTCTAGCTGAATTTCAGCAAGTGATTTTACCTTCCCTCCTGCACTGTTGGGCCTAAAACCAGAAATTCCTTTTTTTTTCTAATATACTGAGGAATCTCTTATTTGAATGCTTAAATATTTATTATTCAGATATGAATACTACTTTATCTAATACTTCAAAACAGCTTTCACAGTATTTACAGAGTTTTTAACACTTCAGTGCATTGATTAAATAAAAGGATCCATCGTTAATATGGTAAATTGGTGCTAAGCACAAGTGACATTTTACATGTTGGACCTTAAATTCTGTAATGATTTATTAGTTTATAAAATGTTATCTTTTGAGATAAACACAGGAGTTTGGTTTCAAAATCATAAAAGTTTAATCTCAAGGTTATTAAGTTTAATCAGTGATGTTGCAGTTTCTTACTAAATAACAGATCTTTTGTTATGATGAGCAACAAAAGTGGCACTTGTTAAAAAACAATGCTACTGAACAAATGGAACAATAATTCACAATACAGATTTTCAGATATTACCAAAAATTGTAAAAATCTAGGCAAAACTGGTGTTCTTCTTGTTATTTTGTATCATTATAAACTGTATAATGTGGTATTATCTTTAAATTTAACTATTATTTTCAGTTTTTTTTCTTTATTTGTTAAAGGATAATTTAGAAAGACTGTTCATATAGTTAAGATAAAATGAAACTGATATTATAACTGAAAAATTAATGTTTTACTCATTCTGTAAGAATAATTTGAGAGCAAATTGGTCTTGTTTCATTAATATAAACAGTCTAACTATCAATCACCATGTAATATAAACTTAAAAAAAAATTACCTTTGTGCCCATGTGAGGGAAGTCTTGTTTTGTTGCTGTACCTGTTGTAATGTTTGCAGCTGTTGTTGTAAAAGCTGCTGTTGACGCTGACGCTGATAATTAAAAATATAAATATTTGTCAAGCACAATACACTCAAACAAATCATAGGCTGGAAAAAGATTACACCACATATCAATAGTGAGAAAAATAATGCAAATGTGAAGATAGGAAATATATTCATAGGAAAAGGTTTACATAATACAAAGAAAAGAGTTTACCTCTTCTCTTTCCTCTTGTTCTTTCTCTTGTTGAAGTTTTTGGATTTCCACCAAAGAGAGATTTGAGTGAACAACTGGTTTTTGTCCACCCCATGCAGGTACCTAAGAAAAAATTTAGTTAATTTTACTAAATGTAAAAAAAAAAAAATGCTTTTATCAAAATATCCAATAAAGATAGCAGAAAAACAAAACTAAACTATCTGATTTGCAAACCTTGTTGGATACAGACAGAAATATTCAACTTCAAAATAAATAACATTCAGGATTGTTTGTTTATAATTAAGCACAAAGCTACACAATGGGCTATCTGTCCTTTGCCCACCACTGGTATCAAAACCCGGATTTTAGTGTTGTAAGTCCGCAGACATACCGCTGTGCCACTGGGGGGCAACATTCAGGATGTGTCAAATGATTCACATATGTGTTAATCCTCTAAAATCTAAGTAGTTTTTTTTTCCAGTAAATATAATACAAAGGGCTCTCATTCTCACACCTTTACAAATACACAGTCAAAGAAATAATGCTGTCAAATAAAACAAATATATTTTTTAATACACAATTGTCATTAAGTTTGTAATTCATGACAAAATCCATTATGAAACCAAACTATATATGTCAAAGTTATCTACTAATACACAATCAAATATCTCTAATCAAACTTGCAATACACAACCAAAGCTCTTATTAAATTCACTAATAAATGGCCAAAACTAAAATTAGGTCTTGTAATGCAAATTCAAATATTGCACGTTTCTTAATACACAACTCAAAAATGACAGTAAGTTTTGTAATAACCAATCAACATAAAATTAATTTTGTAATAGAGTTAAAGCTACCCAATAAAGCCTTGTAATAGACAGTCAAATCTAGGATTAAGTATCGTAAAAAAAAAAAGACTCAAGTCTTTGTAATACAAAGCAAAACTGGCATTAAATCTGCTAAAACACAGCCAGTGTCGCAGTCTTGTAATACACAGCAAAACTGGCATTAAATCTGCTAAAACACAGCCAGTGTCGCAGTCTTGTAATACACAGCAAAACTGGCATTAAATCTGCTAAAACACAGCCAATGTACGCAGTCTTGTAATACACAGCAAAACTGGCATTAAATCTGCTAAAACACAGCCAATGTCGCAGTCTTGTAATACACAGCAAAACTGGCATTAAATCTGCTAAAACACAGCCAGTGTCGCAGTCTTGTAATACACAGCAAATGGGTAATTTTTAATACAAAGCTAAACTAGAATTAGGTCTGCTAAAACATGGCCAAAGTGTCACAAAGTACTGAATACACATCCAAATAGCTGTATTGAATCTTATAACATAAAATTATACATGTTATTACTGCATAAATTTCAGAGTACTCAATTTTATATGTAAATACACATTTGAGTGTCTATCATTGTACAGTTCCTTTACTGTGAAAAAAAAAAGATATATGTGTTTATTACTTAAATCATTTGGAAGTTCTACAAATGTATCACCACCAACCTACTAGTACTTACGGTATAATCAATCATATAAAATTTATCAAATAATTTCACTCATACAACTTGTGAAACATTTATAATCTATAAATTGTTGAAACATTAAACCTTGTAACAATATCAAAATTTTCAATAATTACTAGTTTTTAATGATAGCATTAAAGCAGTTTATGTCTTTTCTTGTACATATTTTTAAAGAAATTTATTTGGTGGAACACAAGTTTAAGCTGGGCAGTGGAAATTTCTCAATGCACGATCTTCGAAATTCAGGTATTAGTTTTGTTTTACTCAAAAAGACTTTTTCTTAATTAATTTATTATATCCCAATGTTTTTACACATCAAAAGCCATAAATGACGTCTTTTTTGCTCAAAAACAATACATAACATAGATATATCTTTTAAAAGCCACTCATTCAGCAAGAAAAAAAAATTATTTGATCAGAATGTAAACAATTTAACAGAAAAATCATTTACAGTTTTTTTTATAAAATCTGCTACAAAATTAAATATTACATATTAATTGCATTTTAACAGTAAAATAAGTTTAGAGACAGCTTTTCTTAGTTATTAATGTACTTCAGCTACAGTCGTTTATGACATTAAGGAATACCCGTACTAAGTGAGCATATCAATGTGTTTAGGAATATTTCAGTAAACAAGTTATTCAATGTTTTATTTGATAAACAGACACACAGATTAATAATCAAGAATTTTTTTATCTCATTTTAAGTAGTACATGAGATTATTTAATCTTCAATTTTATATAAATTTGTAATTCTAACAAAAAATATTTTACTGGGCAGTAAATAAATGTCCCAGTAAGTTAAACAACTGATAAAAATGACCTCATGAAAGAATAAGCAAAGTTTCTGGTCTACAATAAAATATGTTCAATGTAGTTCTACCTATAATAATTGCTTTATGTAGTTTTTAATGCACAAGTATCTAAATTTATATACACTTAAAACTGAACACCTGGCATCTAGGCAATTTAAATAACTATAATGTAAGCATTTAGATATTTATTGACTGCACAAGAAACTTCATTAGCTTACTTGAGCTTTTGCTTTCTGCTGTTCTTGGAGTTTACGAAGAGCCTCTTGTTGTTGAAGCTGTCGCTGAAGTTCACGTTGCTTTTCTATCTCCCTCTGTTCAAGCTCCCTCTGCTCTTCCAATTGTCGCTGATGTTCTAATTCTCTCTGCCTCCTCTAGAAAATACATAATTATTAACACTTGTATTACTTCAAGTCATTCAGATACTGAAAACAAAAAATGTTAATTTTGATTGACCAACATACTATATGAACTGCTACAAAAATCTGGAGAAAACTATAATGTCATGCTTAATTTTACAAAGAAGGGATGTAAAAAGTTTTTATAAATTATATTAACAATGCAAGATATAAAGTCACAGAAAATCTGTTCTAGTGAAATCAAGTGTTTTCTATAGTACTTAGGTAAAAAATACAGGATAAGCAGTTTAGCTGAGGTTTTCAGACAAATTCTTTAAGTAGTACAAAACCCTATAAGAAAGCATTTTTTTGAGTAACCTGCACAGATATATAAATACAAAAAATTAGTTTTAACCAAATATCTGTTACCTCTTCTTCTTCTGCCCTCTTTTTACGTTCTTCCTCCTCTCTTTTTCGTCTCTCCTTTTCTTCTTGTTTTCTTCTTTCCTCCTCTCTTGCAAGCCGTTCTTCTTCTAGTCTCTTCTGTTCTTGCTGCCTTTGTAACTCCTCGAGCTGCCGTTGTTCTTCCTGCCTCCGTTGGAGTTCTTCTTGCATTCTCTGCTCCTCTAATCTCCGCTGGATCTCTTCTTGCCTTCTTTGTTCTTCCAACCTCCTCTGTTCCTCCAACCTTCTTTGCTCTTCTAGTCTTATTCTTTCTTCCTCTTCTTGTTTTCTTCTCAATTCTTCTTGTCTACGCAATTCCTCTTGGCGCCTTTCTTCTTCAGCCTTAAAACACATCACACACAAATTAAACTTTAAATTTTTGCCACTAACATCCACAATGATTTTATCAGTTATTACTATAAGCATATTTGTATTCCAGTTTAGTAATAAAAAAAATATTTATTACTGTTTTTCATAAACACAAAACTACGATGTCTTTTCAATCTTCAAAATACTCATTTAAGAGTGGACTTTATACTTCAATAACAGGAAATTAGATAGTAGGTATGAAGTCTTGAGCTTAATTTGCCATACAGCAAGGAAGGCATGTAATTTTAATTACTTAAAAAAGAAGATAAATATCAAAAGAAGAAACCTTACATTTAATATAAAGATAAATAAATAGGATAACTGTAGATAAATTAAAATGGTTAGAAATCGCAAGCACTTCTATCCCTTATGTACAGGCAACATTATTAAACCTGTCAGATGTCAAGTCATACTGTTAAAACATCCTTAATGTAGTTTTACCAATAATGATTGCTACATGTATATGTAGCCTGTACTATACAAGTATTTAAATTTATATATATATATATATATATATATTTACAGTATTGTCTGAGTAACTCTTTCATTTTATGAATCAGCTTTAAAAGTTTTCTCATTAGACAGGATGTTATGAACACATAAAGAGTAAAAGAAGAAGAAAATGTTGAGCAAATGTACAATCTAAGCAGATTTTTCATTTAGGTAAGCAAGAAACTACTCTTAGAATCACTTGCTAGTGTATCAATACATTTTTCAAACCCATGACAGAAGCACTGTCCATCTATCCTTAACTTTCAAGGCAGTTTTCAAAACCACATGTTTATAAACAGAAGTAAGAGATTTTGTATTATATTTGAAGTTTGCATGCTGGAAGCATATGTTAATGGTGAGGAAGTGATTGATCATAGGAGTAACAGAATTTTTTTACCATATTTATAACTGTTAGGAAGTCAGTTAAGATTAGGATACGAGGCAGTTAATTAATGATTAAGATCACCAGATGAGGCTATTGCATCAATACGACTTTATTTTATAGCTTTCGGTGAAAAAATTTGATTACTTCTATTGACTGTTAGGCAACAAAAATGGGCAAGGCTTAGTGGACAAAGATGAAGACGTCCAATTAAGATGTTACTCAGATAATGAAGATATTTGTTCTCTGCCTATTAAAGAATGTATATTCAACTTAATAGCTATGCCTACAACCAAGGAGAGACAATGACACTAATGCTTCTTCAAAAGAGTGGTCAATATTATCCAATGAATAATTTATTAGCAGCTTCATTACTATTGATTTAGTTATAGTAGTCTTATAATTATCTGCTAATAATATCTCTTACAACAAAATGTCAATAATGGCAGAATGGTTTGTATCGCTTGTTAAATATTGAACATTTTGGAACCATTCTTTGCTTCAATAATTTTCAAGAAGTGACTCATAAATTCATTTCTGTGTACTTAGAAAGCAAACTATTTTAGTTGCACAAGTAGATGTGATGTAAATACATGTATTTCCCAATTTCTTTTCACAAAAACACAGCAGTTAGCAAATTAATGCAGACTGGTTCATATTTATTACATGTTCAAATAACAAAAAATGATAAGTAAATTGTATAGTCACCAGATATTAAATGATATTTTTCACTCTAATATCTACCCTTATTGCTTATCTCGTGAACATAGTTTTAGTTTGTTGAATATGCCTATCTCAAACAATATATCTTAGATAAAATTTTCTTTTAATTTTTATAAAGCATATTCAGATTGAAGAGTTTGTAAATATTGACAATAAATAATTATTAGTTTCAACCTTCCATAAGTGGTAGAATAAATATCTGATATTTTAAAGTTGTTTTGCATAAATTCACAGATAGCCTCCCGTGGTTGTTTATGCTAGTGATCACTTGCAGTTGTCTGGTGATGGAATGGAAGTTACAGGTATTGATCTAACTATAGATGTGACATGTGTGACCCAAAGCTAAGGTAATTCACTGTATGGTGATACCATGTTAGACTTTGATCATCCCCGAGTTTTGATGAAATGTATAGTGTAAGTTTCTGAGTTAATCTGTTGGATTATCACAAAGATAACTAACATTACAAGTGAAAACCTGTAAATAATATATATAATAAAATACCACTGGATAGTATAAATGATAATGTGGAATTGCTCTCATATAACTTTAGCCCTCCTACTGCCCCTGTATTTTTAATAATTAGGGTACATAGTAGCACTTTATGGGAAACACAAACCTCATTATTCACTAACATACAAAGAAAGCCATAGTTACATCAGGTTGCACAGAACCCTTCTTATTCCAGATTTGAGAGAGTGGAGCTCTCAAATCAAATTCAAAATAAGACCAGTATAAATGTTGATTTGTAATGATCCATGTTTAATAATGTATGTGTTTACATAGTTGTGCTTCATTTTAAATGTTCCTATATTATGATAATAAAATAGACTAATTTTGCCAAAGCATTCTTTATTTGCATTTAGTGTGATTCCCATTTTACCAAGCATACACAATAAACTGACACCCAAATATCGCTTAACTTTGTGGAAACTGTCACAAAACCTGCACTGGTGACACATCACACAAAATTCAGGATGTGGAGTCATCATTGGTCAATGTACTGGAAATATTTTATACCTGGGTATTTGCAACAAGTTTTGCAGTATGTGTTTGGTCTATCCACAGTGAAATTCTAAAATGACATGTATGTTGGAAAAACTGGAACCATCCACTGGAATGGAGTTGGATAGAATCATTGAGAGCTTTTGATGTAGTGAACTCATACATAGACTGAGATACTGAAAGGTAACAGTAAACAGACTCAATTGTCTATAATTACATCCTAGAAAAGTGTCCTTATGGAAGAGCAGTTGAAAAATGGAATGTGCAAACCATGATGTCAAATGCTATACAAAGCAGTTATTTGACATGTCAATGGAAACCACTGGAAACTCTCATTATCTTAGAAAAAAAACAGAATCCTGAAAATGAAAAAATGAATTAGAGCAGCAATCACACAGAATAAAACTGGGGATTCAGCAAAAGAACTGAGAGAGAACAACTACTATATGGCCCACTGAATGTTTTTGGTGAAATGTAGTATAGCACATTATAAACAATTTAATGAAGAAAACATAGCTGTAAAACTATCAAACCCATCATGGATGCTATTAACTATTTGGTTAATAAAAAAACTGATAGATTTCTAACTGATGCAACAACAAACAGGGCAGACATATATGTGTCTTTTTTGTAAATTTACTGGATGGAAGAACTTCAACAGATCTCAAGGTGGGCTGTATAATCGACGCTGCCATGGTCCAGGTCTATCTTACCATCATGGAGTTTCATGGCACTCATGGGCTTTGAAAAGACCAACTCTTAAAAGCCCTTCCACTGTTCTAAAGAAATATGTTTCTAAGTTGAAAAAGAAAAGAGCTACATGGAGAAGAAACCTGATGAAGGCCACAACAAAACAGAAACGTGCCAAGTTTGGATAGGAACAATTCCAACCTCTGGTAGATTCTACCTATGGTCCACAAGCTCAACAACCAGATATGTGTGAAGAGATGCTGAACAGTAAGAAAGAAGAAATTATTAAAGAACTACAGTTAACTGATAGCAAAATATCAAACCTAGAGAAAAAAAACATGAAGACAAGTGAAAGTTTTGAGTGGAAAGATGAGTGATGTAAATGTCTTACTGCATCTAATTTCAGAGCAATATGCACAATGAAACTCTAAAATGACATATATGTTGGAGTAAATGGAATGGAGTCAGATATAATCCTTGAGGGCTTTTGATGTAGCGAGCTCAGACGTGGACGGAGATACTGAAAAAATGGAGGTAACAGGTGACAGCAACTCAAATGTCTATAAATCCATCCTAGAAAAATGCCCTCATGAAAGAACAGTCGAAAAAATGTAATGTGCAAACCATGCTGTCAAATGCTATAAAAAGTCATTATTTGACTTGTCAATGGAAACCTCCAAAAACTCTCATTATAAAAAAAATAGAATCCTGCACATCATGCAGTGCAACAGTGAAAAGTCTTTTATATGCAAATAATTTCTCTTGAGAAGCTACAGAATATGGCTGCCATTACAAATCTATAGCCAAACAGGAACGTACTGAATACACAGGAAATATCATTACTTCATATGGTCTAGATGTAGATAAGAGTGTCTCCTGATGGAGTTATAAGAAATGAAAGAATAATAAAAACTAAATGCCTGAAAAAAGCTGAGTAGTTAACTCCACTCGAAGCAGCAAGATCTTTAACTCAATTCTGTTGTACAGCAACAACAAATAGACAGCTAAATTTAAAAAACAAACAAAATTATTATTACCACGTTCAGAGGTAACTACATATCCTAGACAGACAGACACTACTGCAACTTTGTAATGTGGACTCCAAAGGGTATGACTATTGAAAGGATCCAAAAGAATGATGATTTCTTGGAAAAAAAAGTTTCCAAAACTTAAACAATTTAATATCACCTGTCTCTTGTCAGAAATGATCGATCCAAGACTGCCTATAAACATGAAAATTTGTGATCCAGATTACATTACAACTGTGAAAGCTAATAAAAGAAATGTAGTGGAAAGTACATAAATAGAAAGCTGTTAAATGTAGTTTAAAATTTCATTAATATTTAATTTTGCTTGCTGGGAAACTATTTGTTATATCTTATTTTATCTGCATTACAAATTATAACTGTAAAGAAAGCAGGTTAAATCATACACAAAACTAACATATTTTGTAATTTATAATTTACTGTATTGCTGAAAATATTGTTTCTGTATAACTTTTTTTTCTTTTATTGTAAACCTTACTTTCAAATATAAGCTTGTGATTTCTTTATTTTGATGTATGTAGAAGTAACAAAAAAGTGGATATGTAATATATGGAAAGCTCTATAGCCATTATCACTTACTGGTTATCCCAAGAAAAATTAATTACTCAACAAATAAGTCAGCCAATGTGGTAAGTGAGCATAAGCAGAATGATTGAGAATAAAGACTTTGTTTTACTTATTCACTTGTGTTTATTTCTTTCCTTTGCTGTCTCAAAAAATTTTGTGTATATTCCTGAATCTGCATTCTTGTAGATATCAAAATTTAGACATATTTGATTGATATCAATGGACCGGAATAACACAACAGTACTGAACTCACCTCTTGAGTTATACATTAATAAAATGCAACATTTGTTATAGTTGATTAGTAAATCATAAGTGCGTGATTAGGTATTGGGTAACGTATTATATTTCTATTTCTGATCATTAATGGGTGATTGGGTATTGGGAAGTATGGTTCTACTTCTGATTTTGGAAATGAGTAAAATAATAGGGTTTCTTCAAATTCATTATTTAGGGACAATGTATAATAATTCAAAAATTTGAAATGTGGGTAAGGATAAATATACAGCAAGGAATATTTCATGTGATACTCTAGTACTCTAGTGATTGATTTTTTCTGCGTTCTATAATGCATACTTGAAAGGTACATGAATTTTTGTTTGGATAATGAACTTACAGAAGTTAACATTTTCCAAAACTGACAATGAATTTCCAATAGATACTTACACCTGCCCACATTTAGTTTTCCTGATTCAGTGCTGCCCTCTATATGCAATGTTTTGCTCACCACTAGCCTTGAAACTCTCAACTAAAATCACACATTTCCACAAGATATTGCTGCATTGTTGCATTCAGATGAGCATGTGACAATCCTCCACCAATAGGAGTACACACACCCTTCCCTAGCACAGCTGGCACCCTCTATACTGATTGTTCAATCCTCACTTCGAGATTAGGCAAGAAAAGGTGCACTGGAAGTGGGGAGGATAGGTGGGAAATGTGAACAGGAAGAATCGCCGTACACACCAGAATGTCGATAACAGAAGGTTACACATGAAGAGTGTGTGAAAAATCTTGCAAGGGACCAGACAAAACCCATGCATGAAGTCAGAGCAACAACATAGTTGGATGGGACAGGGAGGAATGAGGTTGAAAAGAAGAGAACTGGATAGAAGTAGGGAAAGAGGCGTAGAGGATTGGAGAAGGTTTAACAGAGGCAACCACAGTTGAGCTGGACAATACGGAGCTATCAGAAGGACCCAACAAAGAGTTTTCTGTATGAGTAAAAGAACATGATGAAGGAGATGAATAGGATAGTAAGCATAGAGAAAGAGGTTGGTGCAATCCTGACTGAATGCATCCACTGCCAGAACTAATAGAGACCAGAAAAAGGGAAGTTTGGTGGTGTTAAGTGACAAATACATCTGTAAACGAAGTGCCCAGATGAGAGCAAAGCTGTTTGAAAGCCTGAGGATTGAGGGACCACTCTGTAGGAAAAATCTTGTTGGTCCTTGATAGAAGATCTGCAACAAGATTCAGGGCACCCAGAACATAACAAGCCATTAGTCATACTTGTAGGAAATGGGCTCAGGAGAGAAGGATCAAGGATACAGAGCGAGCAAGACCGGGTGCCCCCTGGTGATTGATATAGGAGACAACTGTGGAGTTGGTCGTATAGATCATAAGTAGATGGCCACGAACCATAGTAACAAAGTGATCCAAAGTTTGACATACTGCTAAAAGTAATAAGACATTGATATGAAAAGCTAATTCGTCTGTGGACCATCAACCCAAAATTGCCAGAGTCGGGATACGCTCCCCTCAGGGAAGCATCTGTAAAAAAGATGCTGATCCAGATGAGGAGAAAGAGTAACATCCTCTGTGGTATTGGTTTTGTTGAACCAAAGTGAAGTTGTTGAGCAAGGAAGGAAGAAGAAGAATGAGGGAGGTTAAGGGAATAAGGGATCCTGAGTGAAGTTCCATTAATCATCCACAGAGAAGGAGAGGATATAGCAATGGAAACTAATTGCTCCATGTCCTACAGATGTACAGGAGAAGGATGGACCATGCTGAGATGTGAATTGAAAAACACACCCAAATGAATGAAATGTTGAGTGGGTGTAAGGTATGACTTCTCCAGTTTGTCCAACCAACCAAGATACGCCGACTCCTGAAGGAAGAGAAGAGAAGAGTATGGTTGTAGGAGGCTCACTGGGATGGAGCCAAAAGAAGCCAGTCATCCATATAATGGTAAAACTGAAATCCCAAGCTTTGAATGTGATGAGCAAAACCCTGACTACCTTACAAAAACCCATAGGACAGACACTAAGTCAAAAGAGAGAGCAGAGAACTGAAAACCTAACCCTGATGAACAAACTGAAGGTAAAGTCTAGATGCAGGGGAAATGGAAATGAAAAAACATCCAAGACATCACTTTGGTCATCCAAACATTGAAGCAAAGACCACCTTAGGGTGAGAAAAATCTCCATGGTAAATTGAGGTAGAAACCAACTGTGGCATAAAATATCTATGACAGGACATCCGTCCCGTTTTCTTGGGAATAACAAAGAGTTAGAAATAAAATCTTGGAGAACATGTCCAACACTGCCTCCACAAACTCTGGCAAAAAATGGGATCCCTGGAAGGAAGAGAGGAAATGAAAACAGGAGACAAAAGAGGAGGAGAATAAAAATGAAGTACAAGGTCCTCTGACAGATATCAAAGTACCCTAAAATTGGCTGGAAATGGATGGCAAATGGTCCACAAACCGAGTCAAATTGGCCCCTATTGTCCATGAGCCTGTAGGATAATCACCATTAAGACTGACAGTACTGAAGTCTATGAGCAGTGGAATAGACTGAAGCAGAAAAATTAAAAGGGGAACAAGGAAAGGAGAGGAAGCAGGAGGATGGGAGACAGAAGGAGCATAGGAAAGTAGAAGTAGGGGCTGAATGTAGAAGAAACGTTGAAGAGTCATAAAACACAGGAAAAAGAGAAAGTATGTAACAAATCTGAGAAATGATATCCAAGAAAGAAATGGAAGGTCTAGGGATATCAATGACAGCAGAAGTAGAAGTAGTGGCAACAGCTTGAGGTAGGAAAAGGCTGTCAAAATCATCATTCTCACAAACTGGTTCTGCTAGTAGAGGAATATCCTTTTCAGGTTCAGATCACATGAAGGACTATATCTCCTGCCACACAATGGCCAACAACTCCTTGACAAGAGGAACCTGATGCCACAGTTGTTGTTTATCCATCATGAATAATGTGAAAAGAGAGAGAGAGAGAGAGAAAAAAAAAGTCCACGAAAACTGCAGAAGCAGTATTAAATTGAATAATAAAATTCAAAGCAGGCCTGTTTTCTAACAAAAGGTTTGCAAAAAACAATAAAACGAAACTAGTTTTACGAAATATCACGAGCAAAAAATGTCTTAACTCCAAATAGAGAAGTGAGGACTGACCACCAGCATAAAGGGAATCAGTTGCACTAGGAGGATATGTTGCACTTTTAATAGTGGAGGGTTGTTGCATGCTTACTTGTATGCAAAAGTGCAACAATATCACACAGAAATGCATGATTTTAGGTGGGAGTTTCAAGGCAAGTGGCCAGCAAAAATTCTGCACATAGAGGGTAGCCATAAATAGGGAAAGCTATATGTGAGAAGAGTTAAGGTATCATATTGGAAAACAAGCTAGGACAATTTAGCTATGCATTCAAGTGCACGTTTCATGCTGTGCAGTATGTCAGTGTACAAAAACCTGTTCCCATTGTGATGTATTGCTTTTCACAGATAAGTAAACTGTTTATCTTTGACAAGTTAGACAATAAAACCATAAAATGAAAATTAAATAGATGTGTAATGGTTAATGGTTGAAACTGTGAATATCATTAATTGACAACAACTGATGCATTTAAAGAAAACAGGTATTGTTCATTTTACTTCATAATTTTCAACTTGTCATTTCAATGTACAATAAAGATTTAGCTAAAGATAATGTTAGGGTAAAGAGAATAACAAATCAAATAAAACAACTTTTGATATTCATTTAGGAGGCACTTAAGGTTATACAAATTAAACAAAAACTGTACGATGAAAAAACCATTTCTATTCTTAGCATGAAAATCACCTTGCACACAAATTGACTCAGTAAATGCTTCAAATTTCACAGACAAATCTTTAGTATAAATACCTCATTAAAATTTCATATTTTTTGTGTGTGTACAACAGACTTGTACCATTTACTAAAGACTTGCCAAAATTTATTATGATACATATAGTAAATTCAGAAGTATAGTATGTATAATTTCACCATTCTGGGGCTCATGCAAATGGGCCAAGCCATGCACAAAGAGTTAAGAGTCACTATTAAAGTGACAGACAACATTTTAAGTTCTGATTATACTTACCTTTATTCTTAGTTCTTCTTGTCTCCTTCTCTCCTCTTCTTGTTCTCTCTGTCTTTTTAGTTCTTCTTCCTTCTTCAGTTTCTCTTCTTCTTCTTCCCGCTTTCTTCTCTCTTCTTCTTCTCTTTGTTCTTTTTCCTGTACAAGATGTGGAAAAAAGTTCTTTACTAGATTTTAACCAAGACGTTTTGATGTACTGAAAAAGCATTTCAATAAACGACAAAATAAAGTAATAATTCATTTCTTTATCTTTTAGTGTTTGAAACATTATTACATAGGATGACAAAAATTATGACACATTACAAACTTAAACCACGACAAGACAGTAACAGTTACAAACTTGTGGATTGTGGTGGATTAAGAGCACATATATATATATACAGTTTTTGGCCCTAAATATATCAAATCCAAATTTTATTTCCATCCATTTGTTGGCCAGCATATTAGTTGTAGTAGTAGCTAATGCATCAGTGATCCATTCGTGTAGTGTCCCTACATCAATCACCTTTATCATATAGACAATTTCCTTCATATAATCCCAAGAGAAAAAGTTCAGGAGTAGAGTCTGCTGACTGTGCCACCCAAGGAATTGACCCCTTATGACCAATCCACCAGAAATTTTTCAGACAGAAAGTTTTTAAATGATAAGATTAAATTGGAAGATGCACCATCTTGTCAGTAGTAAACATCTGGCTGCATGTATTCCATTTGTGGCAAAACATAAATTTATAGCATGTCCATAAAATTTGTTCGTGTTTGATGTTCTCAACAAAGAAAAAAGGATTTATCACTCTATTATGGAGATTCTACATCACACATTCACTTTAAGACTGTCTAACTTATGTTAACATACACCACCATATCCTGAAGTTATAACTGTTGACTTATCCAGAGATGTGAAGTGTAACTTTGTCCAAAAACGAAACATTTTCAAAAAAGGTGTTTTCGGCATCAATTTTATATGCATACAAATGCCTAACTAGACACAAAACCAGAACTCCAACTTCAACTACTGCTAGACACAAAACCAGAATTCCAACTTCAAGCACTGCTAGACATAATCCAAATCTTCAGCTTCAAGAACTGCTAGACACTAACTAGAACTCCAACTTCAAGCACTATTAGACACAAAACCAGAACTCCAACTTCAACTACTGCTAGACACAAAACCAGAACTCCAACTTCAACTGCTAGACACAAAACCAGAATTCCAACTTCAACCACTGCTAGACACAAAACCAGAACTCCAACTTCAACCACTGCTAGACACAAAACCAGAATTCCAACTTCAACCACTGCTAGACACAAAACCAGAACTCCAACTTCAACCACTGCTAGACACAAAACCAGAATTCCAACTTCAACCACTGCTAGACACAAAACCAGAACTCCAACTTCAACCACTGCTAGAC